AGATCTTAGTTTTACGATTAAAAGTTCTAAAGTGATGAAGTTCATTTATTCGCATTCAATATATAAATTGTGCAGCAAAAGAAGCAAAGCTCAGACTTATAGCCTAGAACTGCGACAATACTTGTCTAAAAGTCATATGCACGCTCTGTACGAGCCTGCAGCCCAAAATAGTTGGAAGCAGAAGTGTTCCAATGATCTTTATAGATATTCATTTTACACGCAGCTTTGATCTAATTTTTGCCAAGTCCTTCAAAAAATGTGTTGTCAAAGCAAACCCCTCCCTTTGCAGCAGGTAATCCCTTCCTCATCCCGATTTTTTTGCAGTTTGGTTACTGTGTCATTTTCCCTATTGGCCTGCTTCGAAATACCAGTGAAAGCAAGCGTTTGGAGGGAGAAAAAGATTTGTATGGTGATATTCTACAAGGCGATTATGTAGACTCGTACAGAAATCTTTCGCTGAAGGTAAGGTTGAAAAACCACGGGTTAAAGTGGGCTTCAATCATATTGTCTCCTGATTCCAGTCCCTTTCGGCATTGCGCTACATAGCCATCGCTTATCCAAAGGTAAAAGCGATCCTTAAAATGGACGATGATATAGCTTGGAATGTTCCCAAAGTGGCAAACTATATTAATTACATACTGCCTAGATCAATTTCATGCCACAAGTGGAGTGCACTTTGTTTTGACTAGGGAAAAACCTATATAACTTACGAAATTTCTCTTTTAGATATGAATCAGGTCCACCTATACGTGATAAAACAAGCAGATGGTACGTTTTCCCTCCAAGTACAGTCGGAAGCGCTTAGATTTTGGATTACAAATCCGTATTTTTTATAGGTTTACCGCTTATAATGAATATCCCGAAGGAAAGTTCCCTCAATACTGTAATGGGGCAGCTTACATACTGCACGGCACCGCACTTCAACCAATGTTTAGAAAAGTTACGAAATTGAGATTTTTCTGGGTTAGAATTACTTTGATTTTAAAGCAGTAAGATCCCTTGCTGGTAATATACCCTGTAAAAAATCTTTGTAGGTAGACGACGTTTTCATTACCGGTCTCTTGACACGCGATGCTGACATCCACTTTATTAAGTTTAATCAGTACATAAAACTGAAAAAGCTTCATAAACCACCTAGTACAATATTCTACGACGACATGATGTTCTATGGGACAAATAAGGAAAGCATTGGGTTCAAATTTGTAAAGCGAGTAAGGTAAGCCTCGGTTTCTTGAAAGTTTGTTTATATTTAAGTTTTTGCTCGATTTTCCTTTAAATTATGTGTATTTACGCCAAAAGCGCATCCCAAGCTCACTCGCTGTTTCAATACTGATTTCAAAGCCGTTTTTTTCGGGAGATGAGGTTGCGCACCCGCGTCGATCTGCGTCACGTTTGCGACCGCGGCTTTGGCATTTTGCCAGGTCTCAACAAAGCGAAAAAACGTCGGGAAATAGACAAGAAGTCAAGTTAAAAAAGACACAGATAATGAAGGAAATTCAGGTAATAGTAAAATGGTAATGATGTAGTTGTAACCGCCAAAGCTTCGCCGCCGTGCATATGGCGCCGTCAGCCGCGGTGCGGAGGCGCAGCCTCAAGCTCCCGTGTAGAAATAGACAATCCCGAATTGGAACAACTCGTCGATATAAGCATTGGGTATGATTTAGCCTGCTCTGACAGTATGGAACTTTTGCAAAAACTCTA